CAAATGTGTACCTTGACAATTATTTTCTTTCCTTACAGAACCTAGATTCAATGGTAACAAAAAATTTTATTTCTATCCAAATGAATGTAAAGTATGGTACTTAAATTCCCATACCAACTAGTCAACCTTAGACTGAATAAGTTATTACTTTTATTTCACAATGTAGAGATTATAGATGATCTTATGTAAAATTATATATGTTTATATGTATACACACATATATAATGTTCACGGTCATGATAGTTCCAACTTTGTCTTGTTAAAATAATACATTAAAAGCAACTGACATATTTTATAAAAATAGTTAAGTATCCCAACTATATATTAAACCTGAAACATGTTTTCATGTCTCACTGACATAGTTATAGGTGATAGAGAGAAGCAGTGATGTCCGAATTGTGACTGGCAATAGGAAGGCATTAGGGATTTAAAATTCCCTACCAGTGATCCAACAAACTGTAAACCTAGTACACATATCTGATTCAGTGGTATTTGCCTATCATTATTGTTCATCATTTGAATACAAAATAATTTAGTCACACAGATTGAATTATTAATAATACTTACATAAGATTTGGAAACATGCAGGGGATCAATATTTAATTTTTAGTATCCAATATTGGTCTTTCATATTATGCTTTTGTTAAGTGGACAGAATTTAAAGATGTACAAAGTGTACAAAATCTGTACACTTCAAAGAACTAATAAATAAATATACTAAGGTTATACAATAGTGGGAACATACAAAGAAACGATTCATCTTGAATAACTACATATTTAACTACTTTCCATGGTGCAACTCACTTGGCAGTACTGTGGAAAAAAGTACAACAAAGTAGATACTAGTTTTCCCTCAAGGAATCTTTACAACCCAAAAAACAAAAGTCTGGTATTATTCCTCTGGACTTTGTTTTGTTGCTCACCATTCATTATTCACTACGAAAATATTCACCAACCTTTTGTAGGGTTTTTTTGGGGGTAATTTTTAAAAAGTTTTTGTAGGCATCCATTTGAAGTAAAGGATTTTATGAAATCTCAACTATACTTTATATGAGGAAAGATAGCTCAAAATCCAAACTTCCAGCAGAGAGTTTTTGTTTTATTTTGTTTTAGATTTTGCCAGATTAAACAATGCTATCAGAGAGTTCTTTTGTGTCAACAGATTTCAAGTTAAAACAGATAGTTCTATTATAAGACTTCTTTCAGAATAAAACAATCCCATTATTAGTTTTATACCTTTGATCTGAGTTCAAGTTGAGCATGAAGGAAACAAAATTTAAATAACAAATTAACCTTTTTATTAGAGGTTCAATGTAAAAGATGAGTTTTCTAAATGCCCATTCATGTGTGACTGTATAAATGATTACATCTGCCATATAATTTTTTTAAGATGCATAAACTTTTCACTAAAAGTTACTATTCATGAGACGTGTGTGCAAATGTTCTCATATAGAGATGTTGTAGCTAAAGGCTTAGAACCTCTTCCATCTTTTATATTACATAGGTAGTGTTTCCTTATTAAATTACATGTTCTTGTCAGAAGTCAAGTTATCCACAATGATTATGCTCTGACTCTAACAGAAGAGAGAAAGAAATGGCAATAAGAAGTTTTGGGGCTTCTCTTCCAGTGAAAGATAAAAGAAAACCATACGTTCCAGATTTAAGGATGCGATTTAAAGTTTACTGTATAGTATGGCGTTGTGAAAGATAAAAGACAGCATTATTTTATAAGAGCTATTATTTTTGTATACAATGGACAGGAATGGAATACAAAATAAATTGAATAAATATTTGAGTTGAATTTAAGCTATGGGATTATGAGTGAATTTTACTTCTCTTATTTCTTCGTAATTTCCTTTAGGGTTTTATAATAAAACAGATGTACTTTTTAAAGCATATACAATGTTAAAGGAAACTTTAGTTCAAAATAAGAAAAGGAAATAAGACACATTGTAATGTTTTAAAAATTAGCATGCAGGGTCTCTAGAACTGTAAATATAGACATTATTTGCAGATAGATATGTAATATTCAATTATAATAGCATTATCATGCTTTTCAGTGTATTCCTCTAAGATTATGGAGAAGACAGAGCCCAAGGTAATAGATATTTCCCAGTGATTTTTGCTATTTCTCTTAAATAATCATATAAGTATTTAAAAAGTGACATTGATCTACTGTTATTTCTATGCTTATATTGTTTCTTCACAGAATGAAGTTACCAATGTATATTTAAAATCCATCTATGGCATTGTCATTCCTAGAGAGACATTGTGTTATGCTTTCTACCTTCAGAGCATTTCAATATTCCTCAGTCAATGCACAGAATTGTGCAAAGGCTTCTCTTTTGAAGACTTCCAGATCTTTGAGTTAAAATCAGTCTGGCACATGGCTTTGGGTTACCACTTAAAGATGGCAATAGAAAAGGCGGGCAGATCCTCTGAAGTAGAAGTAGTTCTATACAGAATGAGTAAATCTCTCTCATTGTTTAATCTTTTCTTTCCTCTTTCCAGTGTTTAGTCTTTGTCTCTTTGTACTATTTATCCTGTATGCATTATCAGTCCAACAAATTTCTTAAAATGTTATTCTACCTAGTTCTTGTTACCTTGTAAAATGACTGTCTTCTCCCCATTTAGATAAGCAGGAGAGGAAGAACATTCTCCTAGCTCCTCATATATAGGGTTGGCCAAAAGTACATATGTTTTTTCCATAAAATGGAAGACCCGTTTTTTCATTTTCACCAATAACTTTACATGAATTGAATTTTTAATATTTAATTTTTTAGAGAGGAAAGGGAGAAAAAAAAGAGGAGAGAAAAAAAAGGTGTGGCTGTTTTTCACAACTCCCCTCCCCCAGGTACCTGGCCCATAACCCAGGCATGTGCCCTGACTGGGAATTGAACCAGCCACTGTTTGGTTCCCAGGCTGACACTCAATCCACTGAGCCACACCAGCCTAGGTAGATTTGGATGTTTTGAGTATGTTGACTATCTGCTGCGTGGTATAATGTTGATTATCCTCAATTGATGTCTCAATTAATGGATCAAACTGAAGAAAAGGAGAGAAACCTGCATAAATCTGTAAGGACATTTGTTTCTTTATTTCCACAAGTCTCTTCAAAAATCATTCCTCCACGAACTACACTTCAAGAACATTCTTCTGGGATTGTGCTGACAAAACTTAAAGAAATGCATTTGGAGAGTTATATCTACCGTGTTGGAAAATAAATTATTCTAGCTCCTTGTTTCCCCCATTGGCACTACTTACTTAAATTAATAGTTTGATTTGAGTTGAGTTGGTTATCAGCTGGCTGCAAATTGTGCCTAAAATTGATGCCTTGCCATTATTCTTTCTTATTCCTTTTATTCTCTTATTCCTAGATTCTCTTTATTCACTTCTTAATCTGTATTATAAAATCTATTCCACTTTAGAGCCCACAATATCTTTAAAATAAATAGGAGGCTTAATGAGTAAGAGAATGTAACATAAAACAAAAATGGGGCCCTGGTTGCTGTGCCTTAGGGGGCTGAGAGCCAGCCTGTGAACCAGAAGGTCACCAGTTCGATTCCCAGTCAGGACACATGCCTGGGTTGCAGGCCAGGCCCCTGGATGGGGGCACACGAGAGGCAACCACACATTGATGTTTCTCTCCCTCTCTTCCTACTTCTCTTCCCCTCTCTCATAAAACAAATAAATAAAATCTTTTAAAAAAGAAAGAAAAAATGTAACTGTATCAAAATCCTTGTATTTTAAGACAACTAGTTCACATTAAGGATATCAAACTTTATTAATTTGAGTGCATGCATGTAGACTATCATTATATAACAATACAACCTAATTTTCCCATTTTGTTAATTTAGCCTCCATAAAACCTCTTTTTCAAGAGTAGCTTTTTTTCTGAAACGAGACTTAATATTGTATAGGTAGCCTAGAACCTATAGACAAGTGTGTTTCTAAACAAAGAAATGTTTCAAAATAAGTGATAGTACCTAGTATATTCATTTTGGGTATAAAAAAGGTCAGGTGCCTAGAATGCAGGTAAAGAGGACTGATTTTTAAAACATGGGCATTTGGGGAAATAAGGAATCTGACAGTTGAGAGTTTTATTACTGGTGATTCAGAAAATTTTAAGAGTTGAAGAAATGGCTAAATTTTAAATATAATCATTTTAGGACAAAATGCTCTCGGACCTAGTACCATAAAAAATCATGACATTTTAACTTTCATTGACCTATTTAACTTGTTTTATCTGAAAATATATAAATTTATATTTTTGAGAGTGATAAAGTGTTTGATTAATGACAACCATTTGTAATAAAGATTCTTGAGTATTATTCATGATAATCATATTTCCACTCCAAATAAATATTAACTGAAAAAGAACCATATTTCTAGTCTCATCATTGAAACTTAGCTGTAGGGAAAGAAATAATGAAGTATAAAACTTAGAGTCTCTGCAATGAGGGTTTTAAAAAAAATGTTAAAAGTCTGGATTCAAAAATGCAAATATGGCAGAAAAGCAGTTCATGTGAACACAATTTCAAAACAATACTGAAACCACTCTTCTCCAAGGCAGGATACATGAAGTTTTTCTGCACACACGTGTGCAAAAAACACAGTAGTGTACCAGACTAAAATTGAACATCATGTATTATTTCGTTTTCTATATGCCACAAATAAATCTCAGACTTCAAAGTGAGATGTAATTATTCCCATCAAAATGTCCTCACACTTTATTTGGTCGGAAAAGGGAGTGGGGAGACCACTTGCAGAAAGAGGAGGAGTTGAGCCGTCCCAAGGTGGAGCTGTCTCTTCTGTTAAATGACACTGGCAGATTAAAGCATTCTGATGGGGAAGGGCTTAAAGGCTGAGTCAAAAGCCAAGAAGTCTCTTTATTTACGCCTACCTCCCAGCCCTTGGCAGTCTGACTAATAACAAACTGAGCTAACAAGAAAGACTAGAAAGGGAAGAAAGAGAAATTTGCTGCAGCTCGGATCTACAACCTCAGAAAGCAAGAGTGATCAGCCCCAGCTCTGTGAAACATCTTGTTTATTGACTGCATTTCCGCAGCTTGCAAATGGTTAACTATATGCAAAAAAGTCAGCATAGCAGCGAAGTACGCTGTGAATTTTAATTGGGGAAGGACAACTGCTTCAGGATGATCTAGTGTGCCCTCTGCTTGAAATACATTTTCAATGAAATGCTCCTGCTCTGCACTGTGTCTCTGACTAGAGGCTTTCACTTCCTTAAGTGATGGGACTTGCCAAAAAGTGATATTTGTGAAGAAAGTGCACGGCGGTTAGTGTTTTCTTTTTTAATAAAGAAACTGAATTTACTTTGAACATCTTTTCCAGCTGTGCATTACAGATAACGTCAGGAAGAGTTCATCTCTGCTTTACAGGTAAGATGAATGGTTCCAGGTTTTTGTGATACCAATTTTTTGCATCATCCTTAGAGTGATTCAATGTATATATTTTCCCCTTTAAAAAATGACTTTACATTACAGGATATCCAGTTTCATTCTTGCTCATTGGCACCACTAATGCTGAAGCAGATGCCTGTTTTCGCTGAGCAGCATTTAGCCCAACAGCTGGCTGCAGAAAAAAACGAATAGAATAATATGCCCCTGTAATTTTTATAGCATGCAGATTGTTATTGGAAATTAAGTATGTGTGCTTTCTGAAGAAAAGGTCACCTCCAGATGCCACTGTTGAACTTAAAACAGAAGTAGAAAATTAAAAGATTCTTTGTATTTTGTATACTACTTTTATTATTTCCTGATGTAATAGTGTTTTCTTAAAAAGTGTGAATGGAGATTTTTGACCTCTTCAACAGTTGAGTCAGAAATTGTCAATACAGAACTACTCTTCAAATTCGTATGTATGTCTGCAAAGGTTACACATTGTTTTCCAGGATGTTTTGAAGAGCATAAAATGCATATCAGATGAAAAAGTCACCAGAGATTATCATCTGGAAGTTCTTTACTATTTTCTCAAGATGCTGTACCTGGTGACATGAATAACATTTTTTTCTTGGTAATCTTTGGAGGAGTATTTTTATTGTTTGTGGGAGCCAATCCACAAGTTAAAGACTGCAACCACAGCTGCTTGATTTTAAACACAGTTCTCAGAGCTGTTTAAAATTGAACTACTTCCCTTTGGAAATGCCAAGTCTGCTAACTTTTCCTTTCTATGGAAAGGCATTATGTTGTTTTATTTCTTTGGCTACCTTTTACCTTTTCAGAAAATTAATACTATACATGTTTTCATTTAAGCAATGCATATTATTAAATGTCTATATTTAGTCTTATTGATTGGGTTCGGGGATGGTTTACCTGATTGTGAATTTTAATTAAATTCAAAGTCAGTGTACATTCCAACCAGAAAAAAGAAGGCAGTGAACATTTGGAAAAGTGGAACAGTTATAAGATGTGGTGTTTGTTTACTTTTTAATTTAGTTTACATGAATGTAAGGTTCATATTTCAAGGAAGGGAATAAAATATTATTAAAGTTATGCATTCACCTGGTCACTACTGTCATTTCAGAGTTAGAATCTTTATTAAAAATTGCTGTTTCAGATGCATGCCTTAAATTTTTAAGGAGCTAGAATATGTGATGTTGCTTTCCTGAACTGTCATATATTTTTATTTAGAAAATGACAGATATTCTCAAATATTTTAGTATGGTGCAGTCTGTTTCAGAGTTCATTGTTTGCAACTTTCAGTCTCATAATAAAAGAGATCAGTCACTTAATTACATTATGACCTTCAGTGACCTAAAGCCTATTTCGGGACCTCATTAGGAAGTCATTTGCTAGAAGTTTATGTGAGGTATTGTTTACTTTTTTATCATAGCCAGACATGCATGCTAAAGATCAGTTTTTCTTCTTTATTTTTAATATTTTTAAATTTAATCTTTATTGTATTTTTCAATGACCATTTCATCCCTTTCTATCCCCTGCCCCCTAGCAATCACCACACTGCTGTCCATTTCCATGAGTTCTTTTTACTTTTTGCTCAATCTCTCTACCCCCTAAACTCCCATTCCCAGCTTCTTTAGTTTTTTGATATTCATCTTATTCTTAAAAAAACTAAAAGTATTAGAAAATATCCTACATCTAAAAATTTAGTATAAAGTGTGACTCAAGTGAAATTTGAATGGGCACTCCTAATCATATATATCTAACACTGTTAGGCTAATACAAAGCACCCTAGACTGTAGAGTTAAAACAAAATTCTTTTTATAGTGCTCCACTTTATTACAAAGTCAGAGACATATTCTCCTTAAAGTTTTTAAATAAATGAAATTAATAAGTATATTGAGCCAGAATCCAAGCAGGTTAAAACACAGGCACATTATTAGATTTTACAGTGTTAAAAATTAGAAATAATGAAATGCATAATGCATGCATACATATTTTCCTATCATTTTTTAGTCCCTGCAGTTCTCTCTTCTTTTGGCTAATACCTACATATTTGTCTTATACTTTAATCCTTCAGCCTTAGATTCATTGAGGTTGTTCCAAATATACACCTTTGTATTATATCAAAGAATCAAAGGTCCATTTAGCCAACACCTACGTCATCTATTAAAATGTGGCTTATTTGGCAGCTGTGAACAAAACTGATGATAGAACATTTCAAATTCCCCTTGACCTAAATTTTATAATTTGTGCACAATTCAAGTGAAAACTAAATCAAAACACATCTGTAATCATATTAGGAAAAAGTAAAAAAGTAATGTAGATGCAGCAAAATATTCTTATGTTTCACAGTAATCAATGTTTTTCTTTGTAGTGGAGAACCTAGTATTTGGCAAACATCAAATTCATTTATTTCCTGCTGCCATCCACTAAAGCCCATTGTTGCTGCGTTTTATCTTCCAGAATTTGGTTCGATCACATGACAACATGAAGCTGTGGATTCATCTCTTATACTCGTCTGTTCTGGTCTATATGTCTTCACAGTCCCCATCTCCAACATCCTCAGGCAGAGGTTCTTGTGATTCTCTTTGCAACTGTGAGGAAAAAGATGGCACAATTTTAATAAATTGTGAAGAGAAAGGTATCAAGCTGTTATCCCAAATAAGTGTGCCACCATCACGACCTTTCCAGTTAAGTTTATTAAATAATGGTTTGACGATGCTTCACACAAATGACTTTTCTGGGCTTAGCAATGCTATCTCAATACACCTGGGATTTAACAACATTGCAGAGATTGAGACTGGTGCATTTAACGGCCTTGGACTTCTAAAGCAACTTCATATCAATCATAATTCTTTAGAAATTCTAAAAGAGGACACCTTCCATGGACTGGAAAACCTGGAATTCCTACAAGCAGATAACAATTTTATTACAGTGATTGAACCAAGTGCCTTTAGCAAGCTCAACAGACTTAAAGTGTTAATTTTAAATGACAATGCTATTGAGACTCTCCCTGCAAACATATTCCGATTTGTTCCTTTAACTCACCTAGATCTTCGTGGAAATCAGTTGCAAACATTGCCTTATGTCGGGTTTTTGGAGCACATTGGCAGAATATTGGATCTCCAGTTGGAAGACAATAAATGGGTCTGCAATTGTGACCTATTACAGCTAAAAATCTGGTTGGAAAACATGCCTCCCCAGTCTATCATTGGTGAGGTTGTATGCAACAGCCCTGCGGTTTTCAAAGGCAGCCTTCTAAGCCGGCTGAAACAGGAATCAATTTGCCCCACTCCCCCCGTGTATGAAGAGCATGAGGATCCCTCAGGATCTTTACTTCAGGCAGTAACATCTTCAGTAAGTGATAGTTGCATGTCAATCAAGACCATATCACCTTTGAAACCGCCCACCAAAGCACCAGGTTTGATACCTTACATTACAAAGCCAGCCACTCAGCTTCCTGTACTCTACTGTCCAATTCCTTGTAACTGCAAAGTGCTGTCCCCATCAGGACTGCTGATACACTGTCAAGAACGCAACATTGAAAGCTTATCAGATCTAAAACCTCCTCCGCAAAATCCTAGAAAGCTAATTCTAGCAGGGAATATTATTCATACAGTAACGAAGTCTGATCTAGTGGAATACTTCACTTTGGAAATGCTTCACTTGGGAAACAATCATATTGAGGTACTTGAAGAAGGGTCATTTATGAATCTAACACGATTACAGAAGCTTTATTTAAATGGCAACCATCTGACAAAACTAACAAGAGCCATGTTCCTTGGTCTCCACAATCTTGAGTACTTATATCTTGAATATAATGCAATTAAGGAAATATTACCAGGAACCTTTAACCCAATGCCTAAACTTAGAGTCCTATATTTAAATAATAATCTATTACAAGTTTTACCACCACATATTTTTTCAGGAGTTCCACTAACAAGAGTAAACCTTAAAACAAACCAGTTTACTCATCTACCTGTGAGTCATATCTTGGATGACCTTGATTTACTGACCCAGATTGACCTTGAGGACAACCCTTGGGATTGTTCCTGTGATCTAGTTGGATTGCAGCAATGGATACAAAAATTAAGTAAGAACACAGTGACAGATGATATCCTCTGCACTTCTCCAGACCACCTAGACAAGAGGGAATTAAAGTCTCTTAATAGTGAACTTCTTTGCCCAGGTTTGGTCAGTAACCCATCTCTGCCAACTCAGACTAGTTACATAATTGTCAATACTCCTACAACCACGACAACAGCAGATACTATTTTAAGATCGCTTACTGATGCTGTACCACTGTCTGTTTTAATATTAGGACTGCTGATTGTGTTCATAACTATCGTGTTCTGTGCTGCAGGGATAGTGGTTCTTGTTCTTCACCGCAGGAGAAGGTACAAAAAGAAACAAGCAGATGAGCAGATCAGAGACAACAGCCCAGTACATCTTCAATATAGTATGTATGGCCATAAAACAACTCATCACACCACAGAAAGACCGAGTGCATCACTCTATGAGCAGCACATGGTGAGCCCCATGGTTCATGTCTACAGAAGTCCATCCTTTGGCCCAAAGCATTTGGAAGAGGAAGAAGAAAAGAATGAGAAAGAGGGAAGTGATGCGAAACATCTCCAAAGAAGTCTTTTAGAACGGGAAAATCATTCGCCACTCACCGGGTCCAATATGAAGTATAAAACCACAGACCAATCTACTGAATTTTTATCCTTCCAAGATGCCAGTTCATTATATAGGAACATTTTAGAGAAGGAAAGGGAGCTCCAGCAACTGGGAATCACGGAATACCTAAAGAAAAACATTGCTCAGCTCAAGCCTGATATGGAGGTACATTATCCGGGAGCACACGAAGAGTTAAAATTAATGGAGACATTAATGTACTCAAGACCCAGGAAGGTATTAGTGGAACAGACTAAAAATGAATATTTTGAGCTCAAAGCTAATTTGCATGCTGAACCTGACTACTTAGAAGTCCTGGAGCAGCAAACATAGATGGAGAGTTTGAGGACTTTTGCAGAAATGCTGTGATTCTGTCTTAAGTCAAACCTTGTAAATAAGTGCCTTACATGAGTGTGTCATCAATCAGAATTAAAGCACAGCAGTATTTCTATGGGAATAAAAGAAAGAAAGAAACTCAGGGATCACTGGGAGAAGCCATTGTGTTATTTTTTTTTTACAATTTTGTCTGTCCCAAATAAAATAAATCCTTGTATGTAAATCATTCAAGGATGATAGTAATATTTCTCCACATACTTAAAAGTGTTTCACAGAAGTCCTCTTGCACATCTAAAAGGGTTGACCAAGTAACGTTATTTTTCTTGAATTGTTTTACCCGTGGGTTGAATAGAATTGAATTTTGTCATTTAAAAATTATACATGTAAATGTAGTTATAATATGTAAAAATATATTGTTCATATAACCAGTATATGTACTAAAATGTACATTGTTAAATGCATCTAATTTTATTGCAGGAAAGGCAAAAGGAACTGGTCCTTTAAAATGACAAATAGTAATAGTAAGGAAAAAATAGAAGGTTGAATGATATAGGCTATGAGTGAACCAAAACTCTGAACATTCAAAGATTTTTTCAAGTGCTCCTGCTGTGCTTTCTGAATTTAAAGTTAAAAAATGAGTAGTAGTTATGGTGTAATACACAAGCAAACTTTTGGGGCTTTCTGCACATTTTTGTGTGGACAATCTTATTGTCAATGCTGCTGTGAACTAAGGTATGTCATTTGTGCTCAAAGTTTAAGTCTTACTCTTTGAATATTTAAAGAATGCTACTGATATTCAATTGTAAATATGACTAGTGCATCTATTGAGTTTGGTTTTCTTCATAGCATTAATCCTTTGTAAATTTGAATGACCATGATAGAAATATGTTTCTTGTGGCAAGTAATTCACAGGTGTAAAGAAATAGGAAAAAATATTATTATTTTTATTGATGTATAATCATAGCTGCCATAAATTAGTAGCAAAAGGCACTTCTGAACATAAGTGGTTTAAGTTGCCTCATGAGTGGCACAATGTAGCTTTATTTTACAAGAAAGTATAGCTAGATTTCTATGAACTATTTATTCTGTACAGTTTTGTATATTTTTGGTTCACGAAGGTAATTATTCTTGGGTGCCTTTTAAGAAAATTAAAAATACCACTAATTACAATAAAACTAAAATAAAAACCCTCTTTTTAAATGTGCTTTCTTCAATTAGTCTGATCTGTAATTCAGTCAGGCCAGAACTAATCGATACACTCACATCATGCACAAATACAAAGGCAGAACATGATTTCTGCTTGTTGTCATCCACACAGAATCATCGGCAAAAAGGCCACTCAAAGTCTGGGTGTGACTGACACAGAGCCTAAATCTGACCAGCACTTCTTTCCAGCCAGCAATTTCCCCAATCAACACAAATGTAAATGGTTTCTTTTTCTTCTTTGTGATTACACAATCAACGGTACAGCAGATTTTCACAAAGCAAAATGGGGTTAATCAAGGTAATCTAGTTTTGCATGTTGAACACCATGCAAATCCATGTACAAGTTTGGGAAGGAAACTATTTCCCATTAGGTAGAAATTTTTCTAATGTAGTTAGCTCTATTTTAGTGAATCCTAAATGTTCTATTAAATGTTTTGGCTTTCAACATCAACTGTCTGCTCTACTAGGAAAACAAACATGCATGATTTCTTTGGACTTCCTGTTGTTGAAAACAGCAGGGGCCTAGGCATGCATGGTATGAAGACTAAGTATAATCTATTATGACATCATATCAGTGAGGTTTCCTTTTAAATCATTAAATTATGAATAGTAAACAATTATTATGTGTTAAAAGGTTCATTGTAAACCTGAATTTCTCCATTAACTTTCAAGATTGGAAAGGGTAAGGTGAGGTGCTTTTATAATTCTTTTTATAAAAACACTAAGGAGAAATCTATGTGCATATTGAATGCTTGATATATTTAATCCATTAAGAAAAAATATTCAGCACAGTAGGGAATAGTAAACCTTCCACAGCTTAATTGCAAAATTACATTCTATAGAGAAAAACAAAGCAAGAGCGGAATTCATGTTATTGCAGTTCAAGTGAGTTCAAGTATCTGCCAATATTTTCTGATTGCAATCAAGTGTATAAATATATAAGAAAACTGAAAAAAATCTGCATGTCTTTAGGATCCTTGGAAGGATTCCATGAACGCAGACAGAGACATGTCCTCAGAAAATATTCTTTTATTTTGGTGGGGAAAACATATTTAAAAATTGTTATTCATTGTTACTTTCCCGCAGTAGTAATATTTGTTCTTTGACTTAAAATTAAGGCAGTACAAAGTTATTTATAAGATCATGTAAATATATCTCCCAAAATAAGTACAACCCCAAGATTAAAAACCCATGGGAATCAGGATCTATCTTGTGATGACATAAGAATCATGATTTTTGAAAAACAAGAGATTTTAGGGGCTTAAATGTTTCATTCATGATGAAATCTTTCTTATGTGACTTGGTACCTGACAGGCAGTTGAGAGTTGAGAAAGCTAGTGTATTTCATACCCCATTTGATTCTTTACCTAAGCAATCATTGTGTTCTGTTTCGGTAATTAATTGATAGATTCAGAGTCCCAAGTCCTAATTCAGTATCCTCAATCTTATTTACATCACTAGGCATTCTAAAAATAAATTAGACTTTTAATTACCCTATATTTTCCTTGATTTAAACAGAAGTTATAATTTACTCATTGCACATCAGTACAAGTTCTCATTTGTGTCACAGCCTAGAATTTTTGCTACATAGGGATGCTAGTGTATAATCATATTAAGTTAGATTTATTAAAACCTGTCAGTTTGTTAGACATACATTGTGTTAATCCCAATTTAATCAATAACTGAAATATTGATTTACTGAAATCAATATTTTTAGTAAATAACTATTAAATATATCCTGTAAACTTAAAAAGGTGTTCTTTAAATAGCTTCTACCAATTTCTGTACTAGGATAGATTTTTTAAAATCTGATAAGAATGATATCAATGATGTTGGCTCCTCCTCTTGAATGAATCTTACATCATAGAAGAGAGAAAGACTTTCTTCTGACCTAATTTAAGTAAATTGAAGTACCATCAAAGTGACCATTAAGCTGTGCTAATGCTTTGACCCAATTAATTGAAAAATATTTAATTTTGCTTCAGGATTCAAGAATGTGATTTGAGTATTCCTAGGTTATTAAAAATTCAGCTTTTTAAAATTGCCGTTGTTCATATGTATTTATATTTGGATAACTATCAAATAAATATATATACATTTTATTTTGTGAGGGAAGAACTAATAAAGATGAAAGGATAGTGGCTATTGCTTCAAGGTACATGTAATTTATTCTGTATTATTTATTTTACATTACTAACTAATGGTTGTATAGTCGAAGTCACTTTTAGGAGAAGAAAAATACTGCAAAGTTTCAGAATTGTTTGACAAAACCTGTTTTTTAATAGGAACAAACACAAGTAAATTTCTAAAGAAAGCTCCCCAAATTTCAACAAATATGAGTTATTGCTAAATTCTTACTGGAGACTATTCTCAACATAGAAACTAATCCATATGTATAAAAATACTGACCATCTGAAAAGTTTGGATCTACTAGTAATTAGGAAATGATTCCACAGTGAATTTTGGGATCATTTTTGTTTCTTTTCCCTGACCATTTTTCTAACACAGGCAGGAATGGCTGCAGTTTTCTTCTTGGATTATCTTAAAAGGGCACACCTTTCTGGTAGGAAAAGAGGCAGTTACCAGTTCTCAGCCGGAGTAATCCTCCAACGGAGCAGACATATCAAGAATGACCTACTCAATGAGGAACACACAAATGATGAAAAATAAAATATTCCTTTTGCCTTTTTAATTTCTTACATCCTGAACAGATATTTTCCCATATGTTACATGAGTTTTATAATCAAAACAATGTCTCAAATAAAAAATAAGATATAATAGCTATTTGTCATTGAATTACAATATGAATGTTATTAAAGTTATTTTGTTTACCAAATTTTTTCTCATATAAATATGCACACCATTAGCTGTTTTATACAATACAGCTAGTTTCCTCTGTGTATACTCAAATGCTAGTCTGTGAAAGTTTGAAATTTTGTTCAAATCTTAGAGCACCTAAGTGAAGAAAATAACTACCCTAAAACTTTGTATGATAGCATTAGTGATGAGCTGCAAATCTGAGAGAATTTCTCTAAACATTTATTAATCACAACGCTTTTCTATCAGCTATGTTAGAAGATGGACTTACTCAGTTTTGTAAAGATGAATTTATATTAATTACATAAATCTATTTTTAGTTATATGTAGCAGAGAGGAGACTGCCAGATGTAGAATCTTCTTCTATCTGCTTTGGATGCATAATCAAATTAGACAAATACTCTTCTGTTAGTAAAAGTCTTTCAGCAGATTAGTGAATGGAGAAAGGGAACAATTCAAAACAACAAAATTCACACACACAAATATTCATGTTAGTTCCAATTAAGATCATTTAAAATTATACGCTTTTCAATAAGGTATTTAATTTTAAAATTGGGGGAAAAAAGCAGAAGACCTGATCTTTCACAAATAATTGTTTGCTTCTTACATCTGCTTGGTTCTACCAGTGACAAAATTAGATTGTTCTATTGCAAAAAAGTTTGCTCAACTTCAAATTCTGGGCATCATCGTTGATGAGATCACACTTAGTGAGTGCGTGTAAAATGTATAGCCATCCCATTACTTGGTGTTATGAACTATCTAAAAACACATATGCCCCTGTTACTATGTGTTTATGATCCATACTATCAAAAGTTAATATAGCAAAGCACGGTAGAGTAAGAAAGTTAGTGATAGAGTTCAGAGGAGTCACGATTGGAAAAGAGTAAGATCCGTTTAAAATGCTACATATGGTTTCATCAGTTAAGATTTTCATAGACACATTTGGCGCCCATTTCTGGCATTTGGAAGTACTTTGGCTTAGAAAATATATATTCAAAGAATTCCTTGTTTTATAGTACAGCAAACAATTTCAGATACCAGCATGTCATAAACTTTTGGAGTTCATCAATTCTAGTTTTCTCATGTTACAAATAAAGGAGTTAAGAGATTTGCCTTACATTATATAACTAGGAAGAGTAACAAAGTCAGAGTTGAAAATCTGCTCCATTGTGGTTTTATTATGTTTTGTTTTATTTCTTTTTTTTTCTTCACCAGAATTCTTGTCATAACCATAAATGTATGCAGGACAAAAGAAAAATATGTCTTGCTCTTCCACATACTTGCTTCTGCATTTCAGTAGGACACTCTACTTTTAATATGCCTTTGAGAAAAATCAGACATTAGAGTTACTTTAGACATGTATTACATGATTCTAGGTTATTCAAAATTATATATAAGCACACTTTAGATACAGCTATAAAATGTTAAGTGACTTAGTGGATTGGACAACATATACAAATACAGAAGCTCATTATGTAGTTTTGTGTTTTTTTATTCAGAATAATGAGTTACTATTTATGAATACTACTTACTTTTCAAACACAATTTATTAAGAATTTATTTACTATTCTAGTACATAGAATCAAACATTGACAAAAATACAATACAAATAATTATCACAATACTACATTTATTTCAAACTTATTGTATGAACAATATAATATTTAAACATTGTTAGACTTAACACACACACAGATTTGGTATGAGATATTTTCATTATTCCACTTTTTAGACCTCTCCCTAAAGTGTCTTTATTTCCATGGTATTGCTTGTAAGCTAAAATAAAGATCATAGTTTTAGTAAATATATTATTTTAATCCTAGAAAGATAGTATTATAAAATGTGA